GTTTAAATCTCCGAATAGTTTAAACAAAGAAGACAACGTTTTATAACTGTGTGCGTCATCAGCTGCATTTCAAATTCTTTATTTTTAACACGCATTTGAAACTTAGAACTACAGAATATTTTAGTTTTAAGTTTCAATGTGGAAAAACTAAACTTCAGCATCACGTTTAAAAATGTCCAACCTTTTAACAAGAGCTTCGTTGAAGCATTTGAAGGCAGCATTCACATCGATTGTATCGATTCCCCTCAAGCATCCTCACACGACACAGAGAGCTCACAGGCGACAGCGGCGTTGTTTGTGTGCGTGTGCGTGTATGTGTGTATGTGTGTGTGAATGAGTACAACAACATCATCAATATGACTGTTAGAAACGCTCTCCGGGATCATGGGCAGAGGTACCGACCGCGGATGGCTTGTCTCAAAAAGGTAGGCTGTATAAATCACAGCTCTGCCCACCTGCAGAAGCTCCAACACATAAAAAACATGAATTATCCTGTTGTGCTCTCCTGTAACAACATAAATAATGCCTTTATAAACTATGTCAGTCTCTAAAAAAAGCATCTCTTTGAGTTCCTAGAGATAAATTGTTTCTTTGATGCTTTTAGGTTGCAATTTTCTCAATGAGATAGTGTGAAAATCCTACAGGTCCTCTTTGAGTGACTTAAGGAACCCCTTCATAAAATAACAAATGCTTGAATTATGCATTTATATTTAAGTTAAAGAAYTTTAATATCAGATGAATTAAGCATTCAGAAAAGAAGTGTATTTTTGTTTGTTTTGCTTCAGCCTTTCCCCCCTGATAAGGTCATTTAGTTTAATAAGCATTAAGTATGGATCAGTATAAGTGCTCCCACCTATACCTGAGCAGCTCCTGGAAAGAAGTTAATCCAGGCTAATGAAAACGACAGCGTGGTTCTGAGATCTGAGTGTGGTTTGAGTCATCATTTAATATTTAGGGGGGGAAAAATCAACATCGCTGTTGGCATGAGGAAAAAAAACTGTGAGGAAAAACGAATAACAGAAAACCTTATTTCATTAGAGTCTGTCTCGAGCACCACTCATCGAGAACTTTGAGTTCTGGTCCATGAAAGCCCACTTTGGTCCGGCTCGGACGCGGGCTCATAGCTTCTCCAGGATGACTTCAAAGCACAAAGCCACTTCAAACAGACCTGAGAGTCAGGGCAAATACACACTCGTTCCCTTACACACACACACATATTTTAATACAGACTGCATTAAAAGCACTCATTGCAAACGATGAAATCAAATACCCCCTGAATTATATTTTAGTTTAATTTACCAGATGCAGTTATGAAATGTGGGAATGCACTCATTYTAAACAAAGCCCTTTTATCTGCATAATTCACTCAACAAATCTGAGCTTGTTTTGCTACAGTACATCAAAACTGTCAAACTTCTCCATAAACATAAGTTTTTATGTTGAATGGTCGTCAACATTGAAGATTTTTTAAGCCATTTCAGCTGTTTTCATAGATAATAACAAACACGTCATAATTGACAGCCTTTACAAATTGACCTTTATTGATGAGTACTTTTAATTTCGGTGGGGGTGGGGGGGTATTTTCCAGACACTTACAGGGGTTAGACAATGACACTGAAAAACCTGGTTTTACCATAACATCCCTTTCAGACAGCTTCCTCTTGCGTCCACAGTTAATCCTGTTGGATGTGGTTGGTCCTTCTTCATGGAATGCTGACATTACACTGGATATTGTGGCTCTTGATACATCACAGTGTTGTCTTGGTCACAGGTGCACCAGCAAGACGTGCACCAACAATTTGTCCCCTTTTGAACTCTGCTATGTCACCCACAATGTTGTGTGCATTGCAATATTTTGAGCAAAACTGTGCTCTTACCTGCTAATTGAACCTTCACACTCTGCTCTTACTGGTGCAATGTGCAATTAATGAAGATTGACCACCAGTCTGGTCCAGTTTAGCCATGAAACCTCCCACACTAAAATGACAGGTGTTTCACTTTCATTGTCCAAACCCTGTAGTTCAATTCTACCACAATCAAGTAACTAATCAAGTACTGTTACCTTTAYCTGCTATGAAAATCCTGTATATATCAAAAATAATAAACAGTTTACGGTTTTCTCCTGCTTATCTGGGGTCGGGTCGCGGGGGCAGCAGCCCAAGCAGAGACCCAGACTTCCCTCTCTCCAGCCACTTGGGCCAGCTCCTCCGGGGGAATCCCAAGGCGTTTCCAGGCCAGCCGAGAAACATAGTCCCTCCAGCGTGTCCTGGGTCTTTCTCTGGGTCTCCTCCCAGTGGGACATACCCAGAACACCTCACCAGGAGGCGTCCTAACCAGATGAACCACCTCAACTGGCTCCTCTCGACGTGGAGGAGCAGCGGCTCTACTCTGAGTCCCTCCTGGATGACTGAGCTTCTCACCCTACAGTATCTCTGGGAGAGCCCAGACACCCCGAGGAAGAAACTCAATTCAGCCGCTTYTATCCGRGATCTCGTTCTTTCGGTCACTACCCAAAGCTCGTYACCATAGATGAGGGTAGGAATGTAGACCGACCGTTAAATCRAGYGCTTCGCCTTCTGGCTCACCACGACAGACCGGTACAGCGCCCGCATCACTGCAGACGCAGCACCAATCCGCCTGTCGACCTCCCGCTCCATTCTTCCCTRATTCGTGAACAAGACCCCGAGATACTTACAAACATAATAAACAARAAACARGACTCTCTTCTCTCTTRGACTGCATCTCTGAAATCAAACATRYGCTAAYCAAGAATTTCCTGTTTTTAAATGACAGTAAAACTGAATGGATTTTATTTAGTGACAAAGCTGCAACTGGCCTAGGAAGTTTGAATATTAACTTCAGTGACTGTGTGAAAAACCTTMGGGTGACCTTTGATAAGGCTTTACACTTTGACAAACGTATTGCTTCTGTTGTCCGGTCTGGATTTTATTATTTACATCTTTTAAAAAAGATCAAACCCTTTTTGAACCGTTGAGATTTGGAGAAGGCTGTTCATGTTTTTATCACTTCAAGACTTGATTATTGTAATGCTCTGTATGTTGGTGTACCTCAGTCTTCACTGGGTCGCCTCCAGCTTGTTCAAAATGCAGCAGCTCACCTTTTAACCAGTACTCCTAGGCGGGACCACATCACACCTGTTTTATCCTCATTACATTGACTTCCTGTCTGTTTTAGAACAGATTTTAAACTTTTATTGTTTGTTTTTAAAGSCCTGAATGACCTTGCTCCTCCTTATATAACAGAGCTGTTAGGTTTCGCTACCCGCTCTAGGTCTCTGAGGTCAGATAGCCAGCTCCTGCTTTCTGTTCCAAGGACAAAATATAAACGTTGGGGTGACCGTGCATTTTCTGCGGCCGCACCTCGTCTCTGGAATCAACTCCCTCTTGATCTACGTTTGGTCACTGAACTTGGCCCTTTCAAACCAAAGCTTAAGACTGTTTTATTCCAACAGGCTTTTAGTACTTAAATATGTGGTGACTTTTCTGGTTTTAGTTTTGTTATTTTGTTGTGTTTTTTTTGTTTTTACTCGTTGTCATGTTAATCACTGACTCTGTGAAGCACTTTGGTCACCAGCACGGTGGTTGTGTAAAGCGCTATAGAAATAAATAAATAAAATGAAATTAAATGACCTTGGAATTGGCCTCTGTCTCTTTCTACCATTTCTGACATTCCCACTTCAGCACTTCTRCACAACAATGCTTTTTGGGAGGAGTGCCCTGTGGGGTGGGAGCTCAGCTGCAGACTGAGCTCCAGGGAGGAGCTTTGTGTAAATAGGCGGAGCTTTGCAGGCAGCTCCACACGGTTACCACAGGAGTTTATAGGATTTCTTAAAAGTGCCTGAATGAGTCAAAGCAACACTTTAGGCGTTTACGCACTGCAGGGCCGGCCCCGGCCCGGCCCGGCCCGACTTCTAACCCGGGTTCGGTGGTTGTGCATAAGCATAGTAGGGCCGGATCCAGCCCGAGTTCTGGAACCTGTCCAGGCGAGGTTCCAATCGGGCCGGCCCAGTTTGACGACTTATTTGTTTTGCTCTGACGAGTCAAAACGTGTCTGGCAAGTCATTAAAAAACATATAGATCTATGAAAAAGCAACTGCTTTCATGACGGTAGCACGTAACAAGCTAATATTGCTAGCTTGCTCGTCGATGCCGTCTGCGTCTCGCTATAGCCGCTTTCTATTTCTGTTGTATGGCCAAGTACAGCCTTCAGAAACTCTCCGCTCTTCTGCGCATCACACATTCGTCGTCTCACTCGACGTTTAAGGACCGTAATGTGCGCTTTTCCGGTAAACAGTTCCCACCCACTTCGAGGCGGCTCTGATGACAGTGCAAAACATCCAGCGCCTTTTGAGTATATCTTTGATGATGGAATGACGTGATAGCATCACGCAGCTCAAAAAAGTTGATTAATAATRCCCCCCACCTTTAATTTACTAGATGTTTTGTTTTCACCGGAGTTGTTGGATCTTACAGGAGCTGTGGGATTAGTTACAGAAAGGAACGCAGCGTTTAGAAAGGCGGTGACTCATTGTAAATCACCCACATGAGCCAAAGAAGCGCCACGAGATCAGGGCATGTTGGCTCACCTCTCGGCACTTTCCAATAAAGTGCTGCTTTGATAAAGACTCAGGTTATTATGTGAGGGGATGCTTGTTACGTCCAAGAAACATCTGCCTTGCTCTTGTTGTAAATTACGTTTGCAAAGCTCCGAGATTTCTTATGAAATACCGTTTTTTTTTTCACCTCCCACAATCTGTTGTCAAAGTGGCTTGTTGGCATGGTGACCTCTACCCCCACCTACCTCCATTCTTCCATGTCATTTTTTAATTTTTTTACAGGCAGAGAAAGTGCTGCTGGAGATGCAGGACCCCAACACGGGAGTCAAGTTACAGCCTCAGAGACTTGTTATCACAACTATACCACACGCTATCACCGGTAAACACACACGCACATGGCCCACACATAATAGTCGAATGCATATGTCCTGCTGTGCACGCTCATTCAGCGGCTGCTTCTGTGATCGTGGCTGCGTGGTCTCAAATACCAGTGCTATATGGGGCTCAAACTCAAGAGCTACAGATTGCATCTCCATGACAACCCCCACGGTCTCAGACTCAGGCCGAGGGAAGAGGTAGGAGGAGGAGGAGGAGGAGGAAGAACACGACTGAACAGACGAGAGGGAGCTAGAGAGACAAAAACAGTGGGGAGGAAGAGGAGCAGAGAGGGAACCTAGACTCCTACGTCATTTTTAAAGGGGTCCAGGATTAGTTGTAACATTAGACTTTATTTGATAAACATTTATTTTAACTGTAAAATAA